TTTATATATGTATATATATATATATATATATATATATATATATATATGTATATATATTTATTTTGTATTTATTAATATATATATTATATTTATTATTATATTTATTATTATATATATTTATTATATTTATAATATATTTATTGTTATATATTTATTATTTGTTTGTTTTTATATTCTTATATATATCCCTCTTTCTTCTGCTGCATTTATTATATTTAATATTTTATATTTGTTGTTTTGTTTTTTGTTTTTTGTTTTTTGTTTTTTGTTTTTTGTTTGTTTTGTTTGTTTGTGTGTTTACTTTAGTTATTAAATTTATATTTTTTGTTTTTGTTTTGTTTTTTTGTTTATATTGTTTTATATTGTTTTATTTATTTTCTTTGTTTTGTTTGTCTTTTGTTTTTTGTTTTTTGTTTTTTGTTGCTTATAAATATTTTAATTAATATAATAAATAAATATAATTAATATTATAATTATAATATAACAATGTGTGCAAATATAATTAAATTAATTTTATTTTATTTTATTTTATTTTATTTATTTTATTTTATTTTATTTATTTTATTTTTTTTTATTTATTCTCTTTTTTCTGTCGTCTTGGGGGGCTGACACAGAACGTAGAAAGTTTGGTTGTTTGCTGATTCCTGCAACAAACAAAAAAAAATAAATAAATAAAATAAATAAAATAAATAAATAACATAAATAAAATAAATAGAATTAATAAAATAAAATAAATAAATTAAATAAATTAAATAAATTAAATAAATAAATATATAAATGGGTAGACAAGTAGAAAAAGAAACAAAAAAACGCAGCAACAAACCGACAAAACAAACAAAACAAATAAACAAACAAAATAAAAAAAAGAAAAAAAGAAAAAAAGAAAAAGAAAAAGGCAGGAGAAACAGATTAAAATGGAGAATAAAAAAAGGAGAAAACGAAACAAATAAAAGCTATAAAAAGAAAAAAATAAAGAAGAGAGAGAAGGAAACAAAAAAGTAATAAAGAGACAAATGAAGAAGAGAAAGAAAACCAAAAAAAAATAAATAAAGAAAAAGGAAAGACAAACAAAGAAGAAAAGAAGAAGGAGAAAGAAGTGAAATAAAGAAAAAGAAATAAACAAAGAAAGAAAAAAAAAAGAAAAGGGAATAAGAAAGTAAAAAGAAGAAGAAATAAACAAGCAGAGACGAGGAGAAAGAAAAGGAGAGAAAGAAAAGAAGAAAAAAGAAGGCAAATAAAGAAGAGAGACAAACAAAAAAGAAAAAAAAGAAAGAGGGGGAACAGTATTAAAAGCAAAAAGAAAAAAAAAAGAAAAAAAAAAGAAAAAAAAAAGAAAAAAAAAAGAAAAAGAATAGAAAGAAGAAGACGAAAAAGAAAAAAAAAAAGTACGCCGAGTCTGTGTCTGGAGTTGTTATTGAGAAGTTTATATGAGAAAGAGAAAAGAAGAAAAAGAAGAAAATAGAGAATAATAAATAAAATAAAAATAAAAATAAAAACAAAAAGAAAGAGAAACATCTATGAGCGAAAAGAGAGAAAATCGAGAAAAAAACAAAAAAGAAAAAACAGAAGAAAAAGAAGAATAATAAAGAAGAAAAAAATAAAAAAATAAAAATAAAAATAAAAAAATAAAAAAACTCGTCTGAGTC